ACACACACACACACAGTGTAGCAGCATTTGTTTTGTTTGAGGTTTGTGTAAAAGAAAGATTAATGTGAGATGAAAATGTGTCCGTACTTGAAAGGTGATGTAGTTCATGTTACCATGTTGTGCTTTGAGTTCATTCCCTGTTGGAAAAAAAGGAAAGAGAGAGGACTTATAGTCATAACTTGAATTGGATTTGAATCCGGTTGTATTCACTGCCAAGGCTCAGCAGCAATATTACTGCTGGTGTTGTTATTCAGAGAAAACACCTCTTTCGTTCACCCAGTCTTTATTTATTCTGCACTGTCCTGTGGTGTATATAGTCTTCTTTAGTTCACATGTTTTGATTTGTTCTGTCTAGACCCAAACCTGGATTGCCCATTTTATTAAATGTAGGAGTTTGTTTTTTTATTGAATCCACTGCTGTTTATTTCTCCCAGCTGATCCAAATCCAACCTGAACAGCCGACCGGATTTCCCTCCTGTTTGTCGTCTTGTCCTCGACTGACACATCATGTCTGTTCTTAACTGTAGAGCTGTGTTCTGTAGGTGGTGTTAACGTAGAGTCTTACCTGTCACAATCTTGCCATGACAAAGTGTAAGGAATTGTTTGTTTATTCATTTATTTTTTTCGTCTTTTTTCTAAAAAAGAGAGTGATACAAAACTGTGAGACTAGATGTTTTGATATGATGCTCTCATTTTAACATTCTGATGAAGAACAGTTTTACAGAACCTGCTGCATTTCTGACAACATGTGTCAAGATTTCTAAGGAGCATGTTACTTTTTTGGCATGACTGAGCTGTGTGTGTGTGTGTATGTGTGAGTGTGAGTGGTTGTTCTCCACATGTCTGTGAATTTACTGAAACACAATAGTCTGACTACCAATGCTATATTTGTTGTTGTACATACTGTAGACCTGTGTATATTAGTTGTAAAATAGTAGCTCCATCATGACTTGAATAAAGCTGAGGGCTTATGATCCAGTTTCCTGGTTAATAACAGATGCAGAATGTGCAATGAACTCATTTTGAATGTTAGAGAGTTCCAGATTTGACTTGAAGAAACACTTGGGGATATTTTGGGGAATAGTAGACTTAAAGGTGGGGTCTGTCAATCTGGAGAAAAAGTCCATTGTTGAGTCTCATTCCCAAGTCGTCCAATACCAACACTTTGGGTTATGGTAAATGGGAAACAAACAACCTGGCTAGCTGCACATCACAATAGGTGCCGTTGGTGCTCTCAGGTTGTTAAATACCGATGCTTTGGCAACGAGACAATGAGACTTAACAATCAGCTATCTTTCTCCAGAATAACTGACCCCAACTTTAAATGAGAAGATTGATATTAGTCTTATATCTGTGTGTAGAGCTAAAACCAGCAGCCCGTTTAAAAGCACTTAATTTAGCAAAAGGCAAACAGCTAGCCTGACTCTGTGCAAAGATAACAACTGTGTGTTCAGACAGAATGTGGAGTGAATTTTCAGTGGCAAGATTTTACAGGGTCAATAGAAACACAAATTGATTCAAAGATACATACTGTACATGAAAGTTAAAAAAAATTCCGACTTGAGGGAAATAACAGAACTGTTAAAGAATTCACAAACACTCCCGCTAACATGGCCTGTCTGTTGCTAGCTACCTTACAGCTAACTCATTGCTACACTGGCTCATCTCATCTGGTAAGAAAAACAAGAATTGGTTATGTATTGTGTATGCACTGATGCCTTTACACAAGTTCCTTACGGATAAATAAGTTATTTGGATCTGATTTGATGAAAGCGAATAAGCACATTTCCCACGATGTTGAACTGTTCCTTTTGATGTGATCTGACAATTTTAAATGTGCGTAATGTATGAAATAAAATCACACAGGATGTTATAACTTTTCACTGTGGTCCTCATGAGGTGTAAAGATGCCAAGGCTGATTAAGCAGAAAACACTAAAACTTATCCGTCTTGAAAAAAGCTTAACAGGTGAAAACATGATTTCAAAGGAAAGTGCACTAGGTATATATTATGCAGTGGTTCTGTGATGTAAAAATAATAATTTAAAAAATTTAATTGTATTTAATCTGAAGTTGTTCTGTCAAGACAAATCTGAATCTTTTGCTCATTCATTACAGTCTTGACCTCAGATTGCTTTCTAGAAACAGGTTATAACATGTTATATTTCAGACATGATAGCAGTGGGTGAGACCTGAATATAACTGTTCCCATGTCAGTGGCAGCTGTGTGTTGGGTGGGGGGGCTAAGTGAGGAGTGCTTGTAAAAACATGGCAGCACAAGTGTGAGCAAGTGCCGGTAGTAGGAGGATGTGTTTACTCTGGCCGAGGTGTGAAAGACACTCTGCTGATCTGTGCAGCAGGTTTATCTGGATGTCAGACCAGAGTGCAGCAAACAGCACACACACATTGTCTCTGGAACTAATGCTTTAATGTGATCTAGTTTGACTCGAGTGAGATTTGGGCAACCAACTTAACTTAAATTGATGATGGATAGGTTATTAACATTTGAGGGGGTCCAGGATAATAGAATAATAGCTACATTTACCAGCAAGTCAACAGTCAGTTCCTATTTGCTACTTCCATATTCAACAACAATACTTCAACGCGTTCTGTTAAGTGGTTCCGTTGAATTCTGTTATGCTCTGCGAATGTCACTCTCTTACAATTAGAGGAAATTTACTGTCCACCCCTGGCTGACCCCTCTGGTTCCAGCAATGTTTCACACCTAGGGTGCAGAATGTATCCCCCTCACCTGCCACCTCACTCACTGACATACACACACAAATATATTGAAGCTTTCAACATATACCACACAAATTTGAGATAAAACTTTTATTTATTTATTATTTATTGTATTATTTATACTATTTGGTCTGTGTTGAATGTGAGGCAGTCCAAGAGTTGAATGTGGCAGTGGTCCTGGCAACACTTGAAGTAAAACATTTTAACCAACCTCAATGCCCACTCAGCAGAGCATCAGAGAAACCTCTGATGTAAGAACTTGCTCCACTCCTCAACATGCCTTTATTAGTCCACATTCATACATCTATTAATGTGACTTTATCATATAACTGAAGAGTGACCGGTCGCACTATAGAGCACCAACTTTTGTGATTTTATAGTGAGTTGAGATGGAATTGGGATGATTTGTGATGCCCCACCTCGACTGAAATGGGTGAAAAAGGAAAGGAAACACCAACAAATCTTAAGCTCTTAAGGAACTCAAGATACAGATAAGTCCCTTGAACTCTACTGGAGAGATTAAACAACTCTTGCAAAAGATATTCCCTCCAGTTGTTGCTGTGATGGTGGGGGTCGAGAGAGCGGCGTCTAACAAAATCCGTCATAGATGCTCAGTTGGGTTGAGATCTGGTAAAGGCCATAGTATTTGATTCACATCATTGTCATACGTATCAAATCATTTCTCCACTCCTTTATTCATGTCTTTTTCTTTAATTAGCCTGATTATAAAAACTGGAACCATCTTGTGGTCTTGACGTCTGACTGCAGCACTGACAGAAGTCATGGGGATTTTTGAAATATGCTCTCTGTCGGAGCTCGCTCAGGTACACTCGGCAGACTGTAACTCCCCATTGGGAGTTGCAGAAACTATTTTCACAGTTTCAGCAAGCTATTAGTTATTTCGCTTTGAATGAAAAACAAACACAAAGCTACCCTCGAGAGAATCTTCTTTTCCTTCCTTGCATTTATCTAAACCACTCATGGAATTTGTAATTGCACTGAACCACTGTGCTTGTTATAGTTTCCCAAACGAGCCACACTGAGGTACAAACAATAGGTTTTTTGTTACTGTAGCTGAAATCTGTTCCCAGTTTGGAAGACTTACAAAAGGCAAAGACAGAAATATAATTTAATTATTACAATTGCATTGTGTTGCTAAATTTTTCTTATACTCATATAGACACGTGTTTGCCTTTACATACAGTCATACTGTATATTCACTAAATTCATTACTACTACTAATTACTGACATCATTGTACACTACATCTGTGATCTTCAACTTTCCTCGATGCATTTCGGCTTCTTTCCTCTGATCTTTTTTCTTCTTTGCTGTTTCACTATTTATCATGGCACCAACCCACAGGATCCACAAAAAATGATGTCTAATTTGATTTTTTTCCAAGCAGAGGGAGCACACTGGAGGTCATGCTGGGGTTGATGGACTCTGGAGCCCCAGACAGGTGGCAGGCAGCCCAGCCTCAGAGCCCACTGTGGGTGTGCGTCCACCCAGAGGTGCCAAACTCCCAGCCAGGCTCCCACAGCCTCACCTTGGTCAGGGTGACTGGCAGGGTCGTACTGTGGGTTCAACCCCAGTTCACACTGCCCTCAGCCTGACACAGCACACATCTTACCATTAGTTTGTTTAGGGGGGCGTGTGTTTTATCTGAAGTTGATTCAGCTTCATTATACATATCATACACCTTACCACCTCACTATTCAACCTATTTTACTTTATTTAGGGTCCCAGGAGCAGGTAGGGCTTCAGTGTTCAGTGGTCAAAGGAGCACAAAGGGAATCTAAGCTAATAGCTAATAACATTCACACAAAAAACAGACGAACCAGACAGTTTTGTGTTTCATCCGATTGTTTCATTGAGTATTTTTGTAGTTATCTGCTTTTGTGCAAGCTAGTTCTGAATAAGGGACAATCAAACCAACCACAAAGTGCTGAAATCTCATGGAAACTGAGGAACATCAGAACTGTGTTGAATAGTGATGGGATTTATGGGGTTTGGTATTCAGGTGATTTAATAAACAACAAAGACACCAAGAAAAAAGAGAAATAACAGAACAGACAAATTCCCTCATAGCTCAAAAACGAGCTGCATGCAATCAGACAGGATGGAGAAAATATGGTAAAAGTATACTGACAAACAGGTACACCTGAGCAAATGTGTTTACAAGTGGTTTTCAGTTATATCACAATTAACATTGCATAAGTATTGGAGCTTAGAAGGTAAAGTTGGTGTCTGACTTTAATCTCCAATAAGCAGTGGATGAATTTTAGGAGAAAATATAAATACGCTACTTGAAAAATGCTTTTTCTCTAATTTTCAAAGAAGCTCTAAGGCGTTCAATACTGTCCATGTCAAAGTATCATAATGTGCTTTCATACTGCGCTAAAAGCTACAAAAGATGGAGTATCTGAAAATCACATCACTATTTCACTATCAAAACACATCACTCAGATGTTGAAGCCAAATCTTTTCTGCTGTTCTACACACACAGAGAAAAATACGGAGAAACTCGGGGGGAAAAGGGGAGAGACGGGAGAGGCTACCAGTGACAGTATTTCCCAGCATTCCTGGTTCTCACAGCTGAGGTGTGAAGTGACGCCTCCAGACTCATCAGTTCTCATCAGTGTGAAACCATCACACCTCTGCTTTAACTGGATAATACAGGTCATTATGCTTCATTAAATGTATTTACATTTACTACATTTACATTTTAGCCATATAGGACACAGGCTTCTATCCAGAAGCACATAGGACAGAAGCAACAGTAGAGGCTTCACTTCCAAGGTGAAGATAAAGAAAGTAAGTGATCAGCGGTCACAGCTCACGCCTGGCTCACTCTGACTATAAAATGATCATGTTGGTGAGAAGTGGTGGGATATAAAGTGGAGGAGATCAAGAGAAGGGCAGAACACACTCATGTCAGGTTCAAGGTTGGAGTGAGGTGAGGAGAAAGAAGCAAGAAAAGGGACTTTCAGCCTACAGTGAGGGCAGGATCATCTCTGCTTATTTAATAATAAGGAATCTCCTGACTTTCACATCCCCTTATGTAAAAATGTAAGAATCATTATTTTTTCTCAAGCACAAAACACACAGTCTGCTGGCCTCATTTTTATTTTACAAAATGTTCTGTACTGTGCCCAGAGTGGAGTGGAATCAAATCTTGACACTGACACTAAACCAACAAACGTTCAGGCCGTCAGCTAATTGACATTCAAATTAAAAACATTTAACCTGCCATAACATAAAAAGTCACAAAAGGTGTGTTTATAGTAGCACCACTCATGTCTATGCTGTTTGGCAATGAAAAATCGAGAATCATTCATCTCTCTGGAGATGAAAATGTGAAAGAAATACACATTTCTACAGTATTCTTGTAATAATAATTGTTAACATTAGACCAATGGTTCTGCCTGGAGTCCAGGCAGTTGGCACATTAACACTCTTCACTGTTAATGTGTCAGTCTACTGTATAGATAGTTGTGCAATAACTAAATCTTATCATATGGGGATCCCTGAGACTACATCTTATCAAATATGGGTGTGCGGCCTGACGTGTGATTAGTTTTGGGGCCCTTGACACCAAAAAGTTTGAGAACCACTGCATTAGACTTCTAAATGTATCCATTGAATCTGGAAAAGTAACTTGTAAGTATAGCTGTCAGATAAATGTAGTAATGCAATATAATTGTATTTTAGTGAACAAGCTTGTTCCCCATATTTAGATCCTGTGATTCTGTGCTTTGATTTGTATGAATTGCTTCTATAGATTGATATGTATTTGGTGGTAATCAATCTGAAATCTATACTGAGTTTCATGTTTCTTTTCCTACATTTTAAACCCTAATTGTAAATGTTTATGATGGTGGTGACTTTATTGGTGGTAGGATTTAATTTGAGAAAAGAATGCAGAATCAAATGATGGCTATATTTGGTCACAAGTTGGAAACAGTACCTAAACAATACTTTCCTATTATGTTATCCAGTATGCTTACTAGTGTCTTTGGCTTTGGCGAGAGAAATCAGGTAGTATTCAAAACAAACCCAGTCGCTTACACATGTGCAAAATGCATCTGGGTTGCTTCAGGCACAAAATCCCAAAAAGCAAAAACTGTTTATTGTTTTGAGCAGGAGTCAAAATTCACACTTCCACTCCTGTAGCTGAACTTTCCCAGACACAGAGGAGAGGGAGAGGTACTGACAAGCTCCCAGTGAGGGAGTGTGTGTGTGTGTGTGTGTGTGTGTGTGTCAGGGGGCTCTGCTTTAGACAGTGACGGTTTGTGAGAATCTGCGGAGGTGTCAACTTCACACCTCTGTGGCCTGGCCTGGACTTATAAACCAGTGCAACAGAGCTGAGCAGCACTCACAGCATCCCAGTCTCTCCAGTCAGACCATTGAGACCCTCTACACAACATGGATACCTCCTCAGTTCCTATGCTCAACTACGGCCTGCAGTACCAGTGGTGCTCCGACTCGGACCTCTCTAGCATGTCTTCTTCAGAAACCCTCTCTCCTGTCCCCTCTATGGACTCCAGCCTCTCTCCTTCCTACCAGCAGCTGCCACAGTCCACTCCTAAGGCAGCTAAGACAGGATATTCCAAGACCTTCAAATCCTCACCCTGCTCCCTGTCTGGACGAGGCCGGAAAACGGGCCGAGCCACCCGGATCCGCAGCAAGCAGAGGGAGAGCGCCAGCGAGAAGGAGAAGATGAGGATGAGGGATCTGACCAAGGCTTTGCATCACCTCAGGTCCTACCTCCCGCCCTCGGTGGCGCCCGCCGGACAGACTCTGACAAAGATAGAGACCCTCCGACTCACCATCCGCTACATCTCCTACCTGTCGGCCCAGCTGGGCCTCAGCGAGGAGGCGCTGTTTCAGAGGAGGGAGCAGGGAGACACCTCGGCCAGTGACACCTCCTCACCTGACATACTCAGCTACTTCCAGCATGGCTCCATGGGAGTGCAGGAGGCCCAGCTGCAGAACCAGAGCCTGAACCAGGGCCTGTACTCAGCCCAGTATGACAGCCAGAGCACCATGATGCATTCTGGGAGCTGTACGTTTGGAGTGGATCAGTACATTGAAACTCCTCAGAGAGACATGTGCTTGGATACCATCCTGCAGTCACCTCCAGCAACACAGCCCTCCTGTCAGGTATGTGAACATTCACTCATGAACATTAAATATGACTCCCTATATAAAGGATTTACACATCTTGCATCTTTTTTTGAAATAAAAGAACAAAATGCTAATCAAATTTCCTCTTGATCTTTTAATACAGATGTGCGGCAAAGACTTCTGCATGCCGTTGGTTCCCAGAGAGTATTGGGGTTAAACGCTCCAGCACTGTTCCATCAACATCCAACAACAGACACAAACTACTTCTCTGTTTTTACTGCCTCACTGTGAAACAAGTAATTTATTTGAAATATATATGCTATTCTACAATTTATTTATTTTGTACTGTGAAATGTCCCATGTAAATATTCATGTCACAATTATATTTATATTTCTTTATACCACTATTTATAATAAAATATTAAAATGTCTATATCATGTTTTGTCATCATTAGAAGCCTTGTTCCCATGATGTATTTCACTGTCTCTCATTCACCATTCAGACAGGTATTATGTGCGCTCTTTAGGTTTGGAAACTGTGGCTCAAAGTTGAGAGTAAAGGGATTGTCTAGATATAAGGGGATATTCTTGAGCAAGACACTTAATCTCATGGTTGTACAGTGTGTTTGTGAATTTACCTAAAAGAATATCAGGCAGGATAAAGTTGGCACTGAGGAGAAAATGCTGCAGAGCACCCTCTGCTGGTCATAAACACACAGTAGCATCCCACAAGATCAACAGTGGCTTCTGGATAAAAACTTCACCGTTGTTAGTAGTGTCACTGTGAATCATACAAATACACAAGTACTATAAAATGGCAAGCCTGCCCATGAATCTTTTTTGTAATTTTTCATTATTATGTTATGTTATTGTGTAGTTATTGATTTTAAAGTGGTTAAAGTTTATATTTTCACTATAACAATGTATTAAATGACAATGGGAAAGGTGTCACTTGCTGATTAACCTAATTAGCACCTGAATTTGCAGCTCGCTTGGCTTTACAGAGCTTTAGAGTGAGTTTCAGCTGTTTTCTGAGAAAAAGCTCTGACCACCCAGCAGACACTGTGTGCTCAGCAACAGGCAAAGTCAGCAACGAGCATTTAGAAGCTAAAGAGTCAGTCCTTAAGGAGTTGGTGGAGGGCAAAAAGAGAGCTAAAAGTCCATGAGTCTGAGTAAATGATAATGTTGCTGGATGTGTAAATAAGTGTTTGCTAACAGGTTGGTCATATACATTTAAAAGGCGATATATCTGTGTTGTGCTGATACTTTGATTCTGCTGCACCCAAATTAATCAAAAGAAATAATTTATTGCAGATTCCACAGTGGTTATATTTTACCCTTGAGTTAATATATGAGTGTATAATACAAGGGGACAACACTACTGAGATAATCTAATTTAGAGGGAGTGTTCATTTGAAATTCTAACTGAACACAACTGATGTCACTGAATGTCACAGAAGCTGTCAGATGGGGACTGAACCCCCTTAACATACACATCCCCTCCTTGCACCTCAACTAGCTTTAAGATTGTTAAAGGATAGCTTCAAAAAATTTCCAATCTGTTGTAAAACAATAGTCATATGAACACTGAAACAGTTTTTGCTTGCTGTAATTGTTCCTCCATCACCATTAGGATAACCTCCCTCACTAACTTATCCTTTCCTTCACCACTTTTTCTGAACGTTGTTACAGTACAGCTCTTCATTGAAGCTACAGTATATGATTACATGTTCAACTCTAAATTAATGCCTGCATCATTCAGTCACATGGGAATATTTTAAGTGTGTCCCGGTTGCCTGACAGTTGAAACACATAATGTTTGGCTGCAAGTTTGATACCATCAAATATAACCTGTGTTGAATACCATCAAAGCCCTCTGAGCCCAAGATAAATTTCACCAAGGGACAATAAAGTACATTTATCTTATCTCAAGATAATAATAATTACCTTATCCCCAAATGTTTCCTGTGAGCAGCTTCACTGTAAACAATCTAATAAAGAAAAAATACCAACCAGTAATTAAAAAAAAAAAGTTAATATTCCAGAGGTCACTTTCATGCATATTTCCCCACAAATTCAACCTGAATAGGCCTTTTTCACAGCAGACATTTTGAGTTGTTACAGTAGGAAAAGCACAGGTGTTACTAATAAAGGTGTTAATACTGGCTCTGTTCTATTCAAGGGTCCTTGTAAGCTGTGACAGTGAGCCATGTATAATACTAGGACTGTGAAACTGAAGCAGTGAATGTATTCCATGATCATTATATTATTTACACATTTGCTTTTCCTTCTGTAAGATGTCAGCAGGTCACGATAAAAAAAAAAAAAATAATATAAATATATGAATAAAATGGAATTTGTATTTTACAAAAATCCATAAAAGTTCTATGATGCAACAGGTTGAAAATACATTATATTATGTAACACATTAATGTTTTTTGCAATGTTGTCTGTGAAATGTTTGTGTTTACATATCAATATGCTCCCATATCCACAAGGAGATAATACAACCACTCCCCATGTCCTACTAAAACTACAATAATTCTACAGCAGATGATGAATATGATAGAATATTATTGGAATGCCGTATTAGATAACATAAATACTGTAAACATGGGATCAGGTATCACCAAGTGGGAGCTACAGAGTTAAAGCCTTTCTAGAAACATAGTAACTTCTTCTTGTGGTCTAATGCATGTGAGAAATGAGTAGCCTGTCCCAGCAGACCAGAGATCAGCCTTTGGCACAGGTTATCTAGTTTATTTAGTGTATCTTTGTTAATGGGGCTCTGCAAACACTCAGAGGTCCTTGGCACCGCTAAGTCTAGACTATGATAAGCGCCTCGCTACTCTTTTCCCCATTCTCTCACCTACAGCCCTAATTACCTGCTAGAGCCAACAAAGAGGGCTTTAATATTCATAGAGAAGAGTGGATCTGCATAGCAGGCAGGAGAATTAGGCCCGAGTGTTTAGTTTGCCACATACATGCAGTTCATTTGAAATGCAAGTAGCATAAAGCCTAATACACTCACTTAGGTCTTTCATCACAGAAAAGCTAATAAACTCTCTGGGCTGAAAGGGTTTGGGATGAAAGGGTTAGCATTGCTGTGCTGATTATTCACTCATTACATGTGAGTAAACACCGTCAGAGCTAATGTGGATTAAGAGAGGACAGATCCTCTCTATCATCAACCCGGGAGAGGGGGAAGAAAGTTGACAGCTGGGGAGATTGTGCTGGAAATGGTGGAAAATAATGATCTGTTAAAAGTTCATCATTTGAAACAAATTGTGTTATTTCCCCAAACAATAAAAAAATACATACCCCACCAAAGCATTTGTAAAAGCTTCAAACTTTAATCAACCAAAAACTAAAGATATAAAATGACTAATTGCTATTACAACTAATCCTGACTGAGAGTCAGTCTGTATCAGATGATAGGAACTTCATTTAGAGTGTATTGAGTTGAGTTTTTGTTTCCAGTGACTTCCAGTGGAAACTAGTCCTTGGGTCAGCTGTCAAGCCTGGTGTTACCTCACATGCTTTCCAACTCAAGACAAATAAAGAAAAACTAAACCTAAAAAAACAATTGCTTTTAAAAACTTAGATTGTCAAACATTGAATGTCCTAAGATTCCAATCCTTGCTGATATTTTTCTTCAATCAGATGTCTGTTTTCCTTGCATAGCTGTGGATGGTGGAGGGCTGTGTGAGACTGGTTCACACGTCCTTCGCATAGGTTTCACCTCTGATGCAGAGCAGGAGTCAAATGCGACACGGTGGTTTGTGGGAACACTCCTTGGGACTCAGATCCACGGTCAACACCTGACAATAAAATCCAGAGATATCAGAATCCAGTAATCTGCTGATGCCTTCAAAAGTAAATAAAATGAATTGTGTGATTGAATACAAAACATACCACTCAGTTTATTATATTGTCAGTTCAGTTCAGGTATTTACTGTCCCACAAGGGAAAATTCTTAAAAAAAATAAAACATTAAAACACAATAAGAAAATAAGGTAATTGAGGATTCTTGTCTCGAACATATATATTCAGATAGATAAAAAATCACAGAGAATATCGCTGATTCTATGAGGGATCAACTTCCTGTCAACACTTATAACATTTAACCACACCACACAAAATATAGCATGTTTTGCATGTTAGTGTATTAAATTTACTTCTTGCTATTTCATATGAAACAGTTTTAAGAGACACCACATACAGTAGTACATACAGTAACAACATTTTTTGACCAAAAAATGGTTTAAAAAGAAAATAAAGGAAAGACGAACAAATTAAAATATATTTTAAGAACAACTTAAAGCAAAACATTTGCAAAGGTATCTGAAAAGGTCGATATAAAGTGAAAAATATAAAGTGGCAAATCAAATATTCGATAGAAGACAAAATAATACATCATGTCATCATTTACACAAAGAATAATTTCTTTCCTCTTAACTTAATTTGCTGTTATGAAAACTCCTGTACTGCCAATAATGGCATTTTTGAAGCACTTCTCTCCAACATCATAATTACTCATTTACAGAGATATTAACAGGACTATTTATAATGTTAGCAATCTAGAAATATGAAATGTGTTGGTAGTTATTGGTTCTGCACATTCTTTCTGTGCAGATCGGGTTCATGCATGAGCCTGTGAGGCCTACTGCTGTCCAAACAGGATGAGGTGTAAACTCCTCACACCTCACAGCTGCCCTGGCACACTTCTTCAGCCTGACCTTGTAGGGGATACCAGAACTTAACTTCAACTTTTACTGTATATGGATGATGATGGGACTTAGAATTGTTTTTTAATTTTATAAGGAGTACGGTCTAAACCTACTCTATTTGAATCTTTTTCTGAGATAACTTTTGTTGTGAATTGGCGCTATACAAATAAAACTGAAAATGTGATTGATTTCTTATTGTTTAATTCAGTCAGCCATAAAAAAAAGTAATATTACATTATTGGATACAATCTGGATCTCTACTTCAAATTCCTCAGGTTCGGAGACAGATTGTGCGACCCAGGTACAACCCCTGTCATGGCAGGGTCATGTTCCCAGGCTAGGAGCATATAGTGTGAATTTGTCTACTTTTTGATGCCTGTGCGAGCTGCCTGTGTCACACCTTTGTTCTGGACCTGGCCTGTTTCCCATGGGACCCCCTGGCCTAGGTGTCAGCACCGCTCCCAGAGCTTCTCAGGAGCAGAGGTGGCTGCCGGAGGTGCAACCTCGCACCTCCCACCACATATATGGAGCAGCCTCCCTGGTCCTCCTCACTATCCTCTGCCTGCCTTACCAGCAACACACTGACAGCTCACTGCTCAGGGAAGAGCTTACAAGCATTGCACCGACTACAACTACAACTACAACAGCAACTATGGAGATGTCCTACTGCTCTCCTCTCCAGCTCCAGGAGAACGCTTTCCTATTTGACTGCGAGTCCCTGCTGGACAAGTGTTATGATCCTCAGGCCTATGATCCAGCTTTGGACCCTGGTTACTTCAGTGCTGGTAGCAGCCTGTCTCCCACCTCTTCTGTGGACTCCTTCTGCTTCTCCCCCACCTCCCTCCAGGCCTCCGGCAACGAACAGAACGCTTTGGACCGTTTCATCTTTAACAGCTCGGCAGCAACTTGTCAGTCCCACGAGCCACAGACTCTGCCCTGCTCCAAATCTTCCACAACCACCTCCACCACCAAGAAATCCAGGTCCAGGTTTCCAGGGAAGAAGCGCCAGACAGCCAGTGAGAGGGAAAAGCTGAGGATGAGGGATCTGACCAAGGCCATGCATCACCTCAGGAAATACCTGCCACCCTCAGTGGCACCAGCCGGACAGACCCTGACCAAGATTGAGACGCTGCGCCTCACCATCCGCTACATCTCCTACCTGTCGGCTCAGCTGGGCATCAGCGAGGAGGCGCTGGAGCAGAGGAGATCCTCAGGCTTTGTGGAGCAGCCCCAAACCCTCAACCAGTTCTTGGGTCAGCCAACAGCCAGCTACAGCTCACAGGAATCAGACAGTAACACCATGAGCTCAGCCCAGCTGTCCTCTCTGCAGCCCTCATATCAGGTATGTTCATATCATGGTCACAAAATGAAAGAATTTGCTCTTCACTTGCCTTGTTTTTTTATAACCTTCATTTACAATGGTTTTACAGAGTGTTAAAGTTGAACAAGTTCATGACCAAAGTCTGTTTTCTGTCGTCAGGTTTCTAATGGAGTGTGCTTCACCAGCGAGCAGTACTGGATGCAACAGCAGCAACTACAAAATACCTTCTCTGGACAGTGCTGAGAGATATGGCGACAAAGACTATTTTCATTGCAACAATGACCTCTAACCACATTTATGTACAAAACTTCTCATTTTTGTTATTTTGAACAAAATGTCTGATTTTTGTTGAGTGTTTTTGTATATAGAACTGTATATTTATTGATTATTATTGATTTCTGTGACCAGAATAAACATAATTTATGAAATTAACCCTCGAGTTTGTTGCATTCATTCAAATGGATTTGTTGTTTCTTTTCTATTTCTGTGATCATTTTTACAAACTAAACTCATGAAATCACACAGACTTGGTGCTTGGCCTTAACTTCCTTACACAAACACTGCAGCTGTCAGCAGGACAATGAGGTGCTAAACAGGGAGCACATCCCCTCTAAAGTCCTTAAGGAAAGACCCCCACTGAGAGAAGTGGCAGCTGAACTAGGACCAGTTAATTGGCACCTTTTTTATCCTGTGTAAACATTGCTGGTGGTTGAGACCCTGAAAGAAAACTTGTGAAAAAATAACTGGCACAGTTCAGACACTTGGCCAATAATTCTGTGGAGTTTTATTTCAATCCCAGTTCAGATTTTTGGAAGATGTGTCCATATATGGCCCAGAACACAATATGGGCAAAGACAGGCAGTATATTAGTCACTGAAGAAGGCTGTTTTACACTGTTGCTATGTCAACACTGTAATCTGTTATGTTGGCCAGATGCCTGGAGCTGCTCTGTTTACAATAACTGAGACTATATTCAGTCTGGCATTTTACATTCAAATAAGTTTTGTTTTTCACAGTGGTGTCTGCAGTCCTGATCACAAACTGTGCTCACAACCTTTGCAAAATTCCCACAGGGGTCTCAATCAATGTTAAGCCATAAATATGCAAGCTTGTGTAAAGTGCTTTATAAATGTGGAGGTATAAAATGTCCCAATTTAATATGGCTTTTATTTCAACCGGCATCCACATAAGATCTAGAGTATGGAGATGAAGTCTAGTATGCAGAGATTATTGTGTTAAAATTCCTATAAAAATCTTTCAAATGTTGACACAGTATTAAAAACATATAAAACCAGATTTTGGTATCAAATAGTCTTTATTCATAAAAATGGCTTAATCAAAACTTTACATTTAAAAAAGTTCCGTCACGTTAAGAACATTCATAATAACAATAAATTTGGTTCCAGGTGGACTAAAAGTCAGTAGAAAAATCTACATTTGAAAACTGCATAGTGGAGAGTGTTAAACTGGAGACATTTCACTGATGAACCATTCAAACACCTGTTTCTTGTTCATGGCCACCCAGTTCATGTTGGCCTTGGTCCTCTCTAGCGCCTGCTCAAGAGACGCAGCGGCCGAGCCGAGCTGTCCTACATTGTCTTCTTTGAACTGCAGCAACTGAAGACAAATGGGAGGAGGGGGGTTACTGGGATTCAAATCTGTATGAAGAGTACATCACTAAAAAGTAAAGGTATAACAATATATATATATTTTGGATTCAGACATGAGAATGAAATTTGCCCCTGTATAACAAAACTTAGATACAGAGTTTAGACTTTGTACTGTACTTGATATAGTGCAAACATTAGTCTATTAATATTAAATTGTCAATGTGAAATGAAACATTGGGTGAAAACAACGACAAATATTAGAGACTGTACCTGCTTGTACTCAAATTCAGTGGAGAATCGTTTGGTCGCTCCATCAATTAGTCTTCCAAAGGAAAATGATCCACCACCATAGCTGAAAAAAAGCCAAAAACAAGACATGCTTTGATCATTTTGCAAACAATTACAGGTTGTGTCACCAAAGCTGTTCGGTTTGACACTTAGATTGCAAGAATATAAGTCTACATCTGTATGGCTGTAGTCAGGCATAGTGGCGCTTTGAGCTGAATGCTAATGTCAGCATGCTAAAATGCTCTCAGTGACAATGCTAGCATGATAATGTTTAATAGGTATATTTATTTTATTTAGTAGAGATATTAACCAGCTTCGTCGTCTTAGTTAATTTGATATTAGCCAAGGATTGGAGGTTGATGGATGGGAATGGCATTTGTATTGTTGGGATTTGGTCATAAACCATATTAATGGACAAAGTAACATTTTGACAGTATCAGAATCATCAGGATTCATTCACCACTGATACCTGTTCCAAATGTGTTGTTAATCCATCCAGTTGAGATATGTGAGTTTGGAACAAAGTGGTAGACTGCCAAACCCAGACTGGTTCTAACATTCTAAAATGTTGTGACATGTTTAACCCTGACACTGCATTCCTATTCCAGCTTTACTGTGACAGCACCATATGGCATATACATGCATGCACCAGGGAAAACTCACTCATTGAATATATGCGCCCAGTTAGCTCTGACAAAGTCCCATGCCAGAGGCTGGCCGATGGGGTTACCAGCAATGTAAACAATGGTGAAGGTGGCATCCTGCTTACGGATCTTCTCTGGGTCCAGACAATACTCCAGATACCTGAAACACACTCACAGTGAGGACAAAAGCCTAATGGGACAAATTTACCACTTGCTGCTGCAAAAAAAGTTTCATTTAGTACAAGTACAAAAGGTCTATGTTTTTTCATCATGCAGTCAGAGCATGCTGCAGAGATTGTCCATAATGTGCACAGTAATTGTGCTACAACTGACCTGTTGAGCAGCCAGGGCTGTTTGGTGCAGGACAGAGCATACATGAGTTTATCAGCTTCTGAAGCGATGGTGGCATTCTTGTACATGGACCAAGCAAAGTCCCACTCCTCCACTCCTCCCGCTGCAATTGCACTGCAGTACACTGTGGACCTCAAGTTGGGACTAATGCTGGAACGATAAATAAAGATGAGAGTTAAAGGCAATGACGGCTGTGAAAGAATCAGGGAGGTCAAGTAGGAGATAATGAAATGGAGGACAGGAAGAAGAATATAGAAGTGGAGACCATAGAAAAGAAATGGAAAGAATGAAAGGAAAGTGAACATACTTGTTGTTAGCTGGGTTATTCATCCACTCTTTGAACCAGCCAGTGGTCAGCTCCTTACAGCCTTTCACTCCAGTGCTGCAGGCTAAGGAGATTGCATTCACCTGGTTGTACCTGGACATGACATGATACAAGGGTCAGAAGAATGTTCAAAAAGGGTTCGACTGTGCCCCTCACATCTGGGGAGTCTGCGAGCCAATGGGAAGATACTCGGGTCCCCATGTGTGAGATGGGTCACTTTAACAGTGTTTTATTAACTTACTACCAGATATGAAAACAGTCACATTTATCTGCTTAAGATGGCAAATAGTGTTAAACATAGTACAAGAAATGGAAATAAGAAAGAAAGGAAGACTACATGGTTTTTAAACTGGTACAGTTAGCTGATAACTCTGGTACAGTTACTTCATAGACACTGACATAAAATCACCAATCTAATCTTTAATATTAACTTTTCTGCATTAAAATGTCTATAAACACTACCTATGTTATACTGTATATATTGTTAAGTTGTGAATTAACATTATCCCAAATGTTTCCAACAATTAAAACCCAGAGAAAGTTTTTTCCAATAACGGTGCATTCTAATCGGTCAACTGTCCGAAAGCGTCACATCCGCTTTGCACATACATCAGCCAGAAGCTGACATAAATTGATTGTTATCCAGTTTTAAGCGTGTTAACAGTAATGAAGGAGTCCATTAAAGCTCTTGAGTGTTGACTCGTGATGAGGTGAACAATGTCATTCAAACTCACTTGGCATCAAGAAAAACCCACACTTAAAAATGCTGACTTTCAGTAGGACTGAAGTGAAGTTTTCCAGCAGTGAGAATGTAAGTTGGAAGTAAATACAAACTCAGAAGATATATATTTCTAAGATAAGAGTAGATTGGAGTGAAAGCATGAAAGAGATAGTGGAGACAGGGACACAGTGTGGAGAAGGTTATGTAAGGTGCAGCTAGAGAAGATGCAGAGTTTTATGAAAGGAAGAGTAGAAACTTTAGGAATTATTTAGTTGGCCTAGGGGATGATTAAAGCTTCATCTAATCTACATTGCATTAATCCACAGAGATATGGCTTACTGTGGCTTAGTGCAATGTAAGTTGTCAATCGAAAAAAAAGTAAGGTAAGATATTAATTTGATTCTTTGTAAATTTTTCTCTTGTCAGAGTTAGACTCAGCTCTTGGGGGATTAGTAGGACAAAAATCAGATACCATCATGGTTCCTCATAACAATAAATACTACAATATAATGCAGTTTTAATGGTTACAAAGTCTGCACTTCTACTTGTCATTTTAGCACCCAAACACACAAACTGGGGTCCGATCTTCAAGTTATCATTGTGACAGGTTAAGCTAATGTATCGGCCAAATCCTGCTACAGTGATTGTCCCAACAACAGTGAACATATGTGTTCAAAAGAGTGAAATAGACATGGCGTAAAACAGACTTGTTAATGTCCTTACTGGTCAGTGTGCTTTTCTGGGATCTTTGTCCAGTTGAGCGTGAGATCTTTGAAGTGGTTAAATAGAGGAGTGACCTGTTTCTTAATGTAAGCCTGAGGGAAGAAGATACATGTTTTGTTAACTTGTACTTCTGTTTGAAAAGAGCAATGTGTCATCAAAAATTATTAACTCTTAATTGAGTCATATTCAATATATTCAATATTGTTTCTGGGGATTGGAATTAACAAAGTCTACCAAATGTTGACCATTCATCACAAACCTGCATGGGTCCATACACTTCACTGCGGTCAAACATGAGGAAGAAGTAGTCCAAGTTGCGACTGGCTGTCTGCCAGGGCATGTATTCGACTTCTTTATCGAGGAACTTGGTAGTCCTCAGAGCCAGAGTTGTGCTCACAGTCTTTGCCCTGAAAATGGCACATACAATTAGCCTGCTCTCTCCTTCAATATCTGACAACAATGCTTTGCAAAAAAATATGGCCTCACCTTGCGAGGTTAAAAGCATCATCAATAATTTGAGCTCGGTTGATCACTGGAATTTCCTGAAAGTGAACAAGGACATGTCAGAAGAAATGCTTTTAGAAACACTGCAGAAGAAATGCAGCATCATTTCTAGCTAGAGGTGCTGTACCGTATGATTGGAGCTCAGTTTGTTGAGGAGACGCTCCCAGTTTTCAGAGTCATAGTTGACTCTGTAGAAGCCCTTCATATTTATGTTGGCTACCAGCCAGTCATCAGTACCAAGTTTTACGTCTGTGTTTGAAACTGTTTGGATGGAGACAAAAAGAATTATTCTATTATGCATCTTTTTGTACTGTGTTGATCATCCTTGCAGTACACCTAAAATCAATCTTACCTTGTCTATCAAGAAGCCAGTACTGCTGTTCAGGTCCCCCAGTCTTAATCCATGTAATAGGGACAAACCACTCATAACTAGAGACGCATCCATCCAGCCATACATATGTACATAAATGCAGAGTAGAGAGAGCAGGTGAGTTTCAATACAACCACATACAGTATATTCAGCATATTCACATGAAACATGTTTCCTACTTGAACTCTGAAGGTCTGTCAACTACAGAGTCTGGGTCCAACAAGAAATGTTTCTGGGTGATTTTTCCAGTCTGTGTGTTTATGGTGACCACTGGGAACCCCATCTGTAGGATCCAGCGGTTCATGATAACCTCCACAGATCTGGGCAGAACAATGCCAGATTTATCCACCGCCTGGTAACAGGAATATTCAAACATTAGTAAAAAAAAAAATTTCAGGTTGTGCCATAACATATAAAATATAATTAAATACATAATTTAATTTTGTAAAAGGAAGTATGCATTATTTTTTATTTCTAAAGCGTTTACAGCTGTGCAAAACAATATTTTTTACTATTATTACCATTTTTAATCAAATGTAAAGTCACTCTAGACCAATGGTACCTGCCCAAAAATGTGAAAAAGTTAGTGACTAACATGCTGAACATAGTAGAGAATTTAGCAGCTAAAGAGCCAGATATTTCCCTCAGGAGTTGCTGGGAAGAAAGTGAATATTGGACCTACATTTGCGAGGTGTCCAGTAACACCACTCTAAATATAAGCTATCTCTCTTTGTCTGCTGCTGGACGTGGAAATAATAGCTAAATGTTTGCTAACATGTTCACTTTATAAGGTGCTTATATGTCAGTGTTATGTTCACAGCTTGTTCTGCTGCCCCCAAAAAATCTATGACTACTCCTTTAATGTATAGCTACTGAACCAAAAGAATAGTATTTAATATATGAAACTGTATTATTTTCACCTGTATGATGGGGCAGACTGATATATTACTACTGAAAACAACCCATTTAGTGTAACTGGAGACACTGTAAACACTACTAGAACTGCTGAGAAGTGTTACGTGGGTGTAACAGGTCAGACCTGTCAAGTTTTGTATCTTCAGTAAATAATATATTCACATTAATTATAGTACCCACTCTTCATGAGACATGGCCATATTTAGAGTGTAACACTATGAACACACTGGATATGTCATAAGGTTTTTGCTTAGCAGCCACTGGGTTTAGGCTGATTTAGCAATTTATCCAGGGATTTCTAAATAAAAATATCTTACTGTTTTTGCAGTAAATTCATGAACTTGAACAAATATTTTGGGGGAATTTCCTTTCTAAGTTTTGTGGAAAGAAATGATGATGGCGCTATCTTACCATTTGCAGGTGCCTCCAGAGGTCTTCGTAGACTGTGTTCTTATATTTGAACTTTTCTAAGTATGTCTGCGGACAGATAATAACCTATTGGTTATACTCTAGCTGTGCAAAACAACAAGTTAGATGCAGATCAATAAACTGGAGATATGACAACATTAACAACATAAAAGACTTCTGGACAGTTTCACTACACACAGATACAGATTAGATCCCCATCGTTTTAATCAGCTGTACTCACATGCAGCCCTTGGGAAAAGACTTTCTCAGTGATAAACTCTGAGAGCATCCTGAGGACTGAGGCTCCCTGTAATGAAACAGGAGGACATTAGCAGTGTAAGTGGGTGACATATCAGATGGGATAGAATTACAGCAATCTGTTAATGAGGATCAGTGACTCCTTAGTAGTTTAATTAATTCCTTTGCATTTAGTGGAGGTCAACATTTTGTCTAGTGGGGCTTGAAGAGAATACGTCAGTATAAGGACCCTCATTATACCGCACCTTGCTATATGTGATGGAGTCAAACAGTTGACTGATGTCCTCCGGCCTCTGGATGTCCTCCTCTTTGGATGAGAGGGGATGGGAGGAAGCCAAGGCATCCACGGCCATCACACCAATGACCTCATTCAGGACTATTAAATCTTTCTGAGAAATACACAGAGAAAAGTTTGTATTTAGCAATGCGGCATGACCTGACACATTTTCCAGTAAAGATGGTTTCTGCATGCAGGTTATCAGGGCTCGTCTCACACTGGAGCAGCTTAAGAACAGTATATTCGGCAGGTCGGTTCTCAGCTTGGAAATATTTCTACAAGAGGCATCCAGCAGAGAATAAAACTCACCATATTCCACGTTGGTTCAGCATAGTTGGCTCCAAGATAAGAGACATAGGTGGCAAACCCCTCGTTGAGCCACAAGTCATTCCACCACCTTGTGGTCACCAAATTCCCGAACCACTGAGAGGACACAGTTTCATTTTATTGGCATGTTTTTAAACGCATTTCAAAGATAAACACACTTCTCACCAGGCAGTACACTACTGAATGTACTTTAGTGTGTTACCATATGAGCCAGCTCATGCGAGATGACTGTTGCCACCCACTCCTTATCTCCATTGGATGACACAGCAGGATTATATAAGAGGGCGGTTTCTCTGTAGGTGATCAGACCCCAGTTCTCCATGGCTCCAGCACTGAAGTCGGGAAGAGCAATCTGGTCTAAAAACGTTTAGAGATTGATAAAAGTACAGGTCATTTTTTGACTGCTGGCTTTGTATTTTTTTTAAATTAAAGCAAAGAAACTGTATATTTACATTGGTTAGTAGTACTAATACAGTAGTGTGAACTTTTTTTTACTGTCCTTGTGTTGGTCTGTTGGTGTGTGTGTGGTTCCTACCTGACTTGCTCAGGGGGTAAGAAGAGTTGTAATAGTCTTCAAAGAATGCCAATATAGGTCCAGTTTTCTCCAGGGCATAGTTTCCCTGGCCCTCCTCTATGGCCTTCTTGCGAGCCCAGATCCTGATCTGGACACAAACAGGGCTTTATTAACCAGACAAAAAAAATGGTAGACCAGATACCTGAGCTGAAATTTGAGTCCAGCAGAGGGCAGCATAGAAACACTCCGACCAACAGCTCAGAGCGGAAAACTACAGAGAGCCAACTTCTGCAGTTTGTAGTTGTAAGTGAAGTAATGGCAGTGGAGGGTAGTAGTAGTAATAGTAGCAGGGCTTTATAAAACTGCATTTATAATACCTGATCTGCAAATTCACTTCAATCAATCATACAGTTTCAGAAGCATAACATAAAATAAAACCATTGTACTATCCAGTCAACCGCCTCTTACACACTTTTCTTTCACGGTTAATTTCAGTGTTTAGTGGGCTATTCCGTGATATCAAGGATCCAAGTTTACAGCAGGCCTATTAAACCAAATGAGCCATGGAAATCGCTGGAAGAGCACCTAGAGCACCTAGATCAAACACTTTTAGTGATTATTTTTTGCTCTGAGGTCATGCTGACATAAAAAAAAATAAACGGTTGCTATGGCTCTAGTTTCAAATTCTCACGCTCTGCTGGGCTCCATCAGCTTAAATTCAAGCTTTGTGAGTAGGTATCTGAAAACCTTTAAATGCCAATCATGTAGATACTTCACAACCGTATCCATTTGTATTGTTCTGACTGTAAGATGTAATAAATAATTACCAAAATGTCTGCACCCGGTTTGGTCCCATTGAATGTAAAATCACACACAACGAAAGCCAGCAAGTAGGTTGACATAATCTCTGTGGGTTCAAAGCTTGTCTGGATTAAATTCTGGCCTTCCAAAGTGATGTTAACGGGTTCTGTGTGGGGGAGAACACAGGAGCAGATTTATTATAAATGAAGAAAGCTCATTGCAGCTGCAAAAGAGTCATATCTGACTTCCTTTGATCATTATTATTGTTATAACAATGCCATGAAAATCTTCAGAGTAACAAAATGTTTAACCACCACAATTTTTTTTTACTGCTTATAACTAAAAAACTGATTTTTGTAAATTATACACATTAAGCAGTCAGATTAACAATGGGATCTGGTTATCAGAATGTAATTGAAATAAGGTACATGAGGAAACATCACACATGTTTACAGTTTATATGTAAAATGTTGCACCGCTGCACTGAAACAAGAACTTGCCGTAGTTCATGGCGTTGGACAGCGCCACAGTGCCATGGGGGTGCAAGAGAGTTATGTGGAAGACAGCTTTCATTGCGGGCTCATCAAAGCAGGGGAAGGCTTTTCTGGCATCTGTTGGTTGCATTTGAGTCGTGGCCACAATTCTGACAATTAGCAGATATGAAAATTCAATAATTAAAACCCACATCAAATGTTAAGGAACCCTCCACCATTAGACACCTTCATACTTAGATAAAGGATTCATTGTCTTCTAGGAGTTATTTAAGTTATTTTAAGATGGTGGTTGTTTTGGTGTGCCCACTGTCCGCGAATGTTTTTTTTTTTTCATTACCTCTCCCTTGTCATTGACATCTGCAATTTAAGATTTCAGCAAGCCATGCATAAGGAAAATGAACAGTTAGCTTTTTAATTATTTCTATTAAAGATCAAACCTGTCATTTTCTGTTGTTTTTTTTAAATAACTTAGATATTTCTATGCTGTTAATTAGCAGTATAGTAGCTAGAAACAGGGGAGCTGTTAGGGGGGAACCCCTGAGTGCTGATGAAACAGGGGATATAGATACAAGATTAGTGAAATGATTCTATTATGAGGCTTAATAAATATCAGCAGTAGCAGCAGTAGCTATTGCTATTGACCACAGTGTCTTTTTTGATAAAAACCACTAGGAGTCACCAAAGTGACAATATTTCAATTCCACACATACTATAGGCCAGTGGTCGTAGAACACTACAAAATGTGGATTTAAAACTTCCTATTTCACCTTGTTTTATCATTTTTAGTTTGCATCCTGGACTTAAGTTAATCTAAAATCAACATATTACTGACATTGCAACCTACATTTATACCTACATTCTATTTTATGGGAATAAAACGTTTTATTTTTCTAAATATTACATTTTATCCACTAAGCAGACAAAGAAATAGAACTTAAGTTTCATTGTTATTAATAGTTCACCCTAAACAACGGTTGATGTTGAGTGGTTAATGCCTGTAAAGTTATCAAGGTGTTTAAATCCTGCATTATAATAATATTTACACTTCTTAATCACATAACTCTCGAAACTAAACAGACATTTTAACAAATTAAATTAAAACTATTTAAAATAAGATTAAAAAGAATGTCCTACTTTTTCACCCCATCTTCTATGTATTCACTCCTGTAGAATCCTCCCAGGTCGTCCGCCAGCTCTCCAATAAATTCAGTGAAGAGCTCGTACCGGCTGGCGATCTGCAGCTGGCTGTTGAGCTGGACCACCAGGTACTGGGTGGGAACCTCCAGCCAGGTCTTTTTAATGCTGGGTGCAGTGGCTCCGTCAAGGGCACTGAGCTTGGCATGGTATCCCTCGAAGAGAGTGAGGTTGAGCTTGTTGGAGTGGATGATGATGAGGTCTGTATTCCTAGTACATCTGAAGACCACCTTGGAGTTTCCCACAAATGTGTACAGGCCCTGTTCGTTGGGCACCAGCCGGGGCCACAAGGTCACATTGTAAAAGAGTGGTTTAAGGTCGGTTGGAAGTCTGTAGCGCTGCCAGGGCTCCTTCGGGGTGGAGGGTGTTGTGGAAGGACTGGGGGTGGTACTGGGGCTGGTAGTGGATGGAAGTGTCTCTCCATTCTTTGACTTCTCCTGAGCGTAAACCACAGACAGAGCTATGATGGTGGCCACAGCACTGATGGCTACAACCACACATGCTATTGCCACCACTTTGCTGAGGTAAATGCCTTTCCCCATGTCTCCACCAGAGAAGAAGAAGACAGAAGGGGGATATAGATAGCTATTTATGCCCTGCCTTTTTATATTCAGCCCAAAGTTAATCGTTGATCTCCTGGGCGGGGATAACAGCTGAAAGTACAAAACACTGAGTTGTAAAAGACCTTGAGATAAGAGGGTATCCTGTCTAATCTGTAAACTTTGTACCTGTATAATTGTTCTGAATAAAGACCCTATTTAAAAGCTGCCCCGTGTTGTCTCTGTTTATTCAGTACTGTAAATTGTGTGCTAGTTGAAATATAGTAGAACACTGTGTGTGTCTCTGTGTGTGTCTGTACAGTTTGCAAATGTCAATGTGTATAAACAGATCTGGCTATCTGATAGTGACAACGCCAGAGCTGTATAATGAAATGGGCAAAAGAAGGGTTGATAAACCTGCATAAACTGCCCTTAAATGTTGTGCAAACTATAAATGCTGCTTTGCTTTGGTTGACCAAAACAGTTATGGCTTTAAGAAATGGAAACCAATGGTTAAACAGAAAGATATTTTACACTTGGGAGGGACATAAATGTCTTCCGATGATGTTTGGATTTTGGTAAGCAAACAATTTAAGAAAAAAAAATTACAAATAATAAAGCAGATCATACAATTAATACAACTTGCCCAATAACATGAAGTAAAACAGAAGCATCAGCACTGAACTGAGATGACAAGTCTGACAGTCAGACCTCTTATTACCAGAAAACCATGAGTGTGAACTCGTCATTATGTCCAAACGCATGACAGGAAATGATATCTTTGGTGAATCAGGCCCAGTAATGCTGTGTGGTCAGCCAGTTCAGAGAAAATAATGTATGGTCGTACGGATACTTCTCGGTTTAACTTTTGCTGCAAAGCGATGCACCGTGCTCTTAACCAGTCAAACACATGCGAGCGCTCATTCGTGGTAGATAACTTCCTAATGTGAATGTGATAAATCTAGTGTCAAGCTTGCAGATTTACAAGAACGAGGATAAAATATTTTCTTACAAACCTTTAAACTCGTGGATCTATCACTCACACTGGTTTGTCTGGTCTCACTGGCAGCAGTACAACCCAACCAAAGAAGGCCCTAGTCTTTTTTCAAAGTAGGTCTGTTCTTTGGTTTGAAAACCTGGTAAGAACATAAAAAAATACTCATACTAGTCCTAACATAGCAAGAGCCACATCACATGCAGGCAGACACAGAGACACCAAATTACAGTATGACGTAATGACAGCAAACTATTTTCCTTTCCACAATACCTTTTCTTACCTTGTATTTAGTTAGTGTTGACTCAGTGGATTCAGCGGCTTTTTCACCTGTCAATTATGGAATCTGATTTTAAACTAGTGTTGTCTGCCTCACTTAATGCACGTCAGCTGCTCGTCTACTTGCGCCAAGAAATGACCCAGATCTTTCATTTGAAAATTAGTCCTGAAGAGTTTCCATTTGTTGCCAAAGGGGAACACTGTTTGCACCAAGTTAGGAAAAATCTGCAACAGATCCAGATCTGAGTGCTGGATAGGATATTGCACAATCCTCATACACAAAATATGCAATCATTGCTATCTGCAGCTGATCTTGAACTTGTTGTGTCTTGTCTTGAGGGATAATCCAGTGTGATGCTCTCAAATATGCCTACAGGCATTTCCTAAGATTTATAATACAAATAAAACAGTATTTCACAATGTATGATATTGGACTGAGAAGGTTGGGCTAAAGGTCTAATAGGGCAATGGAGAAAGAATAGCTGTCCTGACAAAATGTTTTTACAAGTTCATCTTTGCTGCACACATTTTTAGCATGCACCATGTTCCATGCTCGCTGATATGATGCAGGATCAAAAATACTTGTTAAATACAACTGGATCTGCTTTTCTGGCTGACGTTTTACTTCTGCTCGTAGATCTCAGTAGCTTTGGAGACCTCCTGGTCCACATTAGCATAAAGTGAAGTGACATGGTGCTGGACATTAGAAGCCTTAAAATGCAATAGCGATGTGTGGCACATCAGACAGAATGCTTTCCCACTGGGTTGAATACAATTTATTTTCCCACTTCTATGCTCGTCTTTATATTTGCACTTAGCTGTACATTTGCCAGCTAAGATGTTAAAGCGATTGCAGAGAGACAGTTACTAAAATTATGAAGGTTGCTTCCCAAACATGATAGCATCTGTCAATAGACCTGCCTGCCTTTAATGCTCTCATACACTATGTCCACTTTTTGTTTCTTCAAGCCCAAATACTTGGCTGATGTCCCTTTGGTCCCTTTCTCAAAAGCCACAGAAGACATTACAAAGCTGTTTACAGGCTGTGTATTACTCCTAGTGACCTGTAGATTAACTTTGACATGTGAAATCAGTGTAGAGCCCCTTTAACCTTTCATTATTTTCAACTTTATGCAGGTTATAAAACGCCATTAAAGTATCTTATCAGCTATGTCTCCTTGAACTGTCAGTCTCTTGGTGTCTGTTTCAAACAGGCTGAATCGAGAGAAGGCTCGTCTCAATGCTAATCTTACTCTTCCGTCATTGTACAATGATAGTGTATCAATGTTAACTGAGTGCAAAATCTAAAGTGTTGTATAGACTTGGCAGACAATTAGTACATCATGTAGTGCAATGATTTATGATTTAATGATCAAGTTTTAAAAAGGATAAACAACAACAAGCCTAATAGAAATCAAATCAGGCAAATTTATTCAGTAAGATCACTTTTTACAATATCTTTCTCTCCTACCACTAAAGGGCAAAAGTTGTTAAAAACTCATTCATTGCACATTTGCAGGGATACACACATATGTATGCAGTCAATCTGAAATACAAAAGTTATGTTATGTCATGTTTAGGGTCCCTAATGGCAGTCACCGGCTTCACTCACTTGAATCAGTGTCAGTGAACACAAGTTGCTCTGGTGTTAAAGTGGTTAAAGGCCCGCGTTTAAATGCATTGCATACATCATAGTAAGCAGCAACATATAATATTAAAATGAAGAAAAAGACATCAATGAATGGATTTCTGAGAATGAAAAAAAATGTTATGCGAGTAAAACAATCTTTTTTGTTCATTGACAATCACAGACTAGAGCCAAGAGTTATACTCTAGTATTTACTGCTATACCACTGGTATCAAGTGACACTGTTCATCTGTTCCTTTGCTCTAAAGTTTCCAGTGAAGTATTTTGTCACATCAGTTGTCATTGCACAACTAATATAAAAATGAATTGCCACCCATTTGTTGTTCCTGATGATTATAGTGATCGTCATTCAATACATATCCCTGACTGCACTAAAAAGAGAGTGTGTCATTTTGACCGTCTAAGTGTTCTCATGTGGACTCCTCAGTAAACCACTTCAGCACATGGGCTTTGTTCTCCGTCACCCATTTAATGTTGGCTGTGGTCTTCTCTATAGCCTGCTCCAGGGCCAAGGTGGCTGAGCCAAAACCAACATGAAGATTTTCTTCTTTGAATTTCTTCAGCTGGAAAGGGACACAGCAAAACAAAGAGAGAAAAAATGAATTCTGCATTTGTTGTCTTTCTTTTCCACTAAATCCCCTCAGGGAAATACAGTGTGTATTTCAGTACTGTTGTGGCTGTGTGGGCGTCATACCTCCTGCAACTCAAACTCTGAAGAGAACCTCTTTGTGATTCCATTGATGAGATTTGAGAAGGAAAATGATCCTTTTCCATACCTTAATAAAAAAGAAAGTTCACTTTAAAGATGTAGTGATCAGCAGAAGGAAATTGTGCATATCCTACTGTTGCTCACATTGAACATATTCCTGGGAAAGAAACACATTAATTTCTATATAAACAGTCTGAAAATAAAGGCCAAATAACTTGTGAGTAAGTGAAGGGAAATACCACCATGTGCACTCAGCTTTTTTAACTTTTACACTTTGCTGAGACCTGCTGTGTATTCTGTGTATTAAATATTCTTCCATCCTTAATTAATTCCTGAGATGAGTGAGCTCTTACTGCTGGAAAATGTAGCCCCATCTTGCCCTGACGAAGTTCCAGGCCAGCGGCATCCCCACAACATTTCTGGCAACGTACTGGATGGTAGAGGTGGCGTCTTGCTTGCGGATCTTAGTTGGGTCGAGTGTGTATTCCAGATACCTGGCTCAACCCAAACTTCTTATTACAAAGATATATAGTTTCCAAAACACTATCTTAATACATTTAATTCAGCACACCATTAAATATTTCAAACATCTGGAGCATGTAAAAAGGGTTTCTTACCTGGTTACCTTACTGTGTTAGGGTTACCTGCTATCCTGAAGTAGTTGATTTAGCTTTAATGGTGTTTTCAGACAGAATGCAAAGCAAATCTGAGCCACAGCTCAGTTGCATGAGAGTTAATGGAAAGAAGCAAATTCGCTCTATGGTTAGGGGTAGAATGGATTGGGAAATTACCATCATTCTAACAGCCAATTATTTTCAAAACCCCCGAATAGTCCGAAAAATGTCCCATCAGACCAAAAGAACATTTGTCCAACAGACTGTTATTCCAAAAACAAAAGAACAATGTTCAAATGCCCATTTCTCCTAAAATACACACTCTCCCTGGAGTTTTGTCTTTGATATCTTAGTGTATTTGGACATACAGGAAAGGGGGGGGGGATCTCCCTTGCCATAGTAACACTAATAAACATGTGTGGTCAGATTTAGGCTTTAAAAGTACTTGGTTGGGTTTTAGAATAATGGGCCATCTGAACAGCACGGATTAGGGTGAAGACTGGTCAATGTTAGTAGAAGATATTTTAACTGGTGAATTCTGAGATCAGCCAAAGCCTGAGCTGTCACAGAAACACATGTGTATTTTACTAGCTACAGCTAATGATTGTACAGAAAGTTCAGGCAAATAAACACACGGCGCACAAACAGTCCAACAGCTTAATTAGTGTGAATAATGAAAGTGAGGTTATGAAACTTTTGAACAACCTAATGGCACATTCTCCCTATTACAAATTCAACTGTGAGCTTATGATGGCTAATGTTAGCCAGTGCTAGTAAATATTAGGTATATATTGCTGTGGATCAGTTCGCTGACTTTATGACTCTTTTCTTCTAGTGCCACTGTTGCCAGAACA